GATGCCTCCTATTATACCCAATACTGCATACTGGATGAGGCAGAAATTCCTATGCCAACACCACATCCTCCCAGGTTTCATAGGAGAGCACCACAGCAAGATCAGCAGGAGCAAGCCCAAGAGGCTGCACCCTTCCAGATGAGAGACATGTATATGTCTCTAATGGAGGGTGAAGGCATTGTATAGAGGGGAACATGCTTTGCTGATGAACCTGACTTTAGCCTTTCTTGAGAGACAATTCATGTCTTAGGAAGAATTTCAAGCTTATGTTGCATGGCCTACAGATCCAGCTCAGGCTAATGGAGGAGCTAGAGCATCTAGAGCCACAACTATGGAGGAGGATGCTGAAGAACAAGAAGAGGAGGAAGAGGAAGATGAAGAAGAAAAAGAGGATGATGATGATGATGACAACAATAGGGGCTGATTTGTTGGAGAGCATCTACTAATGGATGCTGGATTTGATGAGGAGCATCTACTGATGGATACTGGATATGGAGAGTAGCATCTACTAATGGATGCTATTATAACAGGATTTTTCTTTTGCTTTATTATTATGCATTTGTGAACATTGAATTTGGTACTTGGCCTAATGAGATATGTTTTGATGGTTTAGCTAATATGTGTGCGAGAATTACTATCTTGCGCTGCTTTATTGTGTGATTGATGTTGGGATGATGCATGGTCTAGTCTTATATACAGGTAGTTGCTCATGATTGTTAGAAACTGATGCATGATGTCAATTGTGATTAATTTGTTGGGCAAGATGTTATTGAACTGTGGAACTTGAATTAACCTGTGAGAGATTGGGCTCCAGAGTTTGATTGATTGAATGTTATTGCTTTGAAGCATGATTGATTTTGCCTAAGTTTCTATGATTGAACCACTTGCTTGCTTGTTACACATGATCAAGGTCATGTTTTCTTCTCCCTCAGAGCCAATATTAATAGGTGAACCCAACAAAGAGCAATGATTTTCTTTAACCTTTGAACCTTGAACCTAAATTTGAAAGTTGAAATTTTTTTTTTTGAAATCCATACCTTGAATTAAGTAGAGTATGTGTATGTGGTAATGGAGAATGATTCAAGTATGGGGTTGTGAGAAACCGGAAAGATCTTTGTGGAATTCATAAAAGAGCATTTACCAAAAGAAAAATTGAAAAGAAAAAATAAAAGGTTAAGCTCAAAGAAAGTGAAGTTGGAAATAACTTCAATTTGGTATCTCACATGAAAAGTAAAAGAGAGATTAATTGTTAATTTGAATGAATGAATTGTGCACCCTCTTAACTCAAGGAATTTTGTTGTCCAATAAAAACCAATTTTCTTCTTAGCTCAGTCGCAATACAAGCTTCAAAAATTCCTTGTGATGATAACTTGCTTATGAGTGTGTTTGAGTTATGGTTAAATGAAAGACAAAGTTGAGTCATGTGACATTGTGATAGTATAGTGTAAGAGTGTCACCAAAGGAAAAACATGTTCAAAAAACTCACCCTTTTTCGTCTCAATTATAGAATTACTTTCAAGTATATCACTTTTAAGAACTAAAAACCTATAGGTAGCACTATGTTCAGCATAGCCTAAAAACATGCAATCAGAGGTTTTAGAGCATATTTTCCTTTTCTTAGGATCGGGTAACATCACCTTAACTAGGCACCCCCACACTCTTAGATATTTAAGGTTAGGTTGATAACCTCTCCACAACTCATAGGGAGTTATATCAGTTTTCTTATGAGATATTATATTTTGTAAAAAACACGCAGTAAGTAAGGCTTCTCCCCAAAGGTTATCAGGTGCACTAGAACTAATAAGCATCGCATTCATCATCTCCTTAAGAGTTTTATTCTTTCTCTCAGCTACTCCATTAGACTCAGATGAATATGCTGGGATTACTTCATGGATGATACATTCTTTAACACAAAAGTCATTAAACAATACATATCACCACCTCTATTTGATCTAATCCTTTTAATTTTCTTATTTAATTGATTTTCTACTTCAACTTTATAGGTTAGAAACACATCAAATGCTTCATCTTTATGTTTGATTAAGTACACTTTAGTGTATCTAGTATAATCATCTATAAAAGTTACAAAATAATTTTTACCTCCTTTAAACATGGTTGTTTTAAATCAGCTAGATTAGTATGAATTAACCCTAACAGTTCAGTTTGGCGTTCTACAGAAAATCATGTTTTCTTGGTTATTTTAGATTCTACACATATATCACATTTACTATTATGTTTATCATGCATATTAATTAATCCTAATCGTTGTAAATTCATAACATAGGAAGAATTCAAATATCCTAATCTAGCATGCCATATATCATATGAATCAACAATATAAGTAGAAGATTATGATTCATTAATATTTTCATAAATGTTAAGTACAAAGAGACATTGATCACAATATCCCTTCCCTACAAAAAAACATTATTTTTTGTCATTACATTCTTGTCCGACTCGAATGACACTTTAACCCTCACTTTTCCCAATAGTGCTACAAAGGTTAAATTAACTCTAATTGATGGCACATGTAGCACATCACTCAAGGCCAAAGTCTTTCTAGATGTGAGTTTGAGAAGAACTTTCCCTATTCCAAGAACAGGAGTGGTCCTGGAATCACCAAGATAGACATGATCTTCTCCATTGCCTACACTATTGTAAGAGGTAAAAGCACTTCTGTTTGCACAGATATGTCTGGTAGCACCAGAGTCTACCATCCACTTGCTCACATTGGTCATCAAATTTACTTGAGAAACAACCGAAACAATAATGTCATTTCCTGCGGCTATATTGGCCCTAGGAGGATTGTTGTTTTTTGCTCTACGCCTGCACCGTGGTGCATGATGGCCCGACTTCCCACATACGAAGCAATTTCCTTTCTTCTTAAAGGTGGGGTTAGAAGCGTTAGGGCGATATTTTTTAAAATTATTTTTCTTATTGTGATAAGGTTTGTGTTCGTAACTTTTTGGAGCAGGTTTGCCTTCTACCATGTTTGCTTTTGCAAACAAAGCTTTGGCCCTTGCAGCAACACACTTTTTCCTATTGGTATCTTCAATAATTATGTGAGTGATCAGCTCTAAAAGTGATATTTTCTTGTGTCTGGGTTTCAGTTGCTGCTTATAATCAGTCTAGGAAGGCGACAATATCTCGATTAGAAGCTCTGAAACAAACTCATCTGCTAGAAGAACGTGCTCCGCTTTGATATCTTCGAGTAGTTTGTGGTACTCATTGATTTATGACTTTATGTCCTTGTCTTCAACCATTTCCCAACGATAGTAATTCCCAATGATGAATCTTTGTCTGACTATATCTTCAGCAGTGTATTTGAGAATCGACGAGTCCTAAATGTTTTTCGCTTCCTTATAGGAACAGTACACATCAAACAAATCGTTAAAGAGTGCACTAAGTAAAGTATGACGACATACCTTGTTTGCATGAACTCAATCTTCAACTTGTTTTGAATTTGGAGGGAGATTGAAGTTAGGTTTTGAAGATTAAAGAGCAAAGGTGACTCTGTACATGTCTAAGAGGGTTAACACACGTTCTTGCCAGTTGACCAGAGAAGACTTCAATTTTTGATACATCTGGGAAAGGTTTTGCGAAGACCGTTTGAGTTCCGGAAGCAATATTCTGATTCTCCGGGATTGAGTTATTGTTGTCAGCCATAAGTCCTTAAGATTGTTGTAGAAGTTGAAAATAAAAGAATAAAGATCACGAACAAAGGATTTCCCAGAGCGTGTAGATCATTACCTTTAAGGACTTATCCGCAGTGTATTGGGCAAGTCCCCCAGGATACAACAGGAACTTCTCAAAATTTCTGAGGATCTCGGAACTAACAAGGATCTCTAAAAAGATAATAAAGTAAACCCAAAATATTTTTAGGAAAAGAAGAAAAGAGAAAGAATGAAACCAAGAAAAGAGAGAATGAGAGAAGAATGATTTATGATGATGTGTTTTGGAGTGAATGAACCAAAATATCCAAAATATCAGTCAAAATATTTGCTAGAGAAAATGATTCTTTAATAAAATAAGAACGTTGAAACCAAATAAAGACGTTGACAACATCCTTGCTTGAAGAAGACGCTGAAAGCACGAGACTTTGGGAGGTTACTATGCACATAACGGTTTGGTCAAAACCATTCCACTAAATATGCATCATCCGATTATTCTGCATTCACAATCTATGGAAGCAAATATTTTGCAATACAAGATTTACAACATAACCTACCGTCAATATAAGAATCGTGAGGTGTTTTGAGAAGGACGAGACTAGATGTTAGAGAGCAAGCACCATATATATACCGACATCTCTTATGGTCTATTGAAAATGTAATGTAGGAAGATTTAGCCAAAACGAAGTCTTGCTTAAGAGATAAGTTAATCATTGAACTTCTCATCAATGGAATCTTAAGTTATAAGTCATTCGAATATACTCATGGTGAAATGAGATAAACATTATAACTAATATCTTAATAATAATTTATTGTTTACTTTTTACATTAATTAAGATTTAACTAAAAAACTTTAATTAAATATTAACTCGAACCTAAAAATATTTTTTACCACGTCCTTTCAAACAAGAAACTTGGAAGAAAAACACCACGTAATGTGAAGAGGTACTAAGAAAAAGATATGAAATGATATCGGGCTGTCGAAAATACTTTCTGCCATGCACTTTGTTTATCTATACTTGTTTTGAAACACAGATAGAAGAGAGTGTAGTCATAATCATCATGTACAAGCACTTCTATCGATAACATCTCACAACAAACACTTATTTACACCTTCTTTTACTCTCATTTACTCATTCACAACCGTAACTTCACGTGCCAAATGTTCACCCATCACTGCTCACCATCACTCAAACAAAAAGCCATCCATTCCCATCAATACGTGAAAAATTAAGCCACGTGTCCTACATCCATCAAATTTATCCAACACGTGGCGTTCATCAAACGCTACCAAATTCAATTGCCCTGGCCCAATCAGTTGATTCGATTTCACCTTACTATAAATAACTGTTTTGAATTGACATATTATGGGTAGGCACACGCAGCCATTAAAGTTTCTCTCCCTTAAAAAGACAACTTTTCAAAACAAGAAGAGACACGGAGAGAGAGAAAGAGTGAAACAGAACAACGTAAGACTTCAATCCAACAGAAGAAATGGTGTGTTTCTGTTTTCTGGTGGATCAGAGGAGGAAGGTGCAGCGGAGCAAGCCGGCGGCGGGGACGTGCTCGCGGTGCGGCGGCGGAGCCAGCGTGGCGGATATGATGACACAAACCAGATTTTGCTACATTCCATTTTACTCCAAATCTTGGAAAGCTATTATTTGCACTTTTTGTGGAGCCACTCTCAAATCTTACAGATGAGCACCACCTTAATATTTTCATTTCTTAATGTCTCACAGTATATGTAATATACACAATATAATCTATGTTTTCGTTTATTAGTTTCTTCTTTGTTTTTTGTTTTTCTGATACTTTTCTTCTGCTCTACAACATTTTCTTGTCTCCTCTGGAACCCAACAAGTTAGATACTTATTTACTGTAGAAAGTGAAATTTTTACATAAAAGATTTAAATATAGTACTTTTTGTTATCTTTACAGTGTTTATTATGCAATGCTTGTTGCTTCGAGTGGTAGAAGAAATGGCTTTATCAGAAACTCGTGTATATGAAAGAAATTGTTAAGAAAAATAGTTTCTGCTTTAATTTCACCCACGACGAACCATCGTCTTGTTTAATGAATACTTTCCTCAATTTTATAAATTTTAATTCATAAATAATGTACTTCAACGATCCTCTATGCTGAAATATCAAATATCTGTTTTTTCCACAAATACGGTTTCAATGAAATTTTTTAAGGAAATATTGTTTTCCCTGGAAAATAATAATAAAAGATACCTCAAGAAGAAGAAGAAATAAATAAAGAAAAAAAGATATTAGATTGTCTTTCTTTCTCAATTTAAGTTCTTCCATGTTTTGGGGATTGAGTGTTTTCCTGGAAAATGGAAAAGTTAAGATTTGTTACACAAGTTTTTGTTATTGTGATTTTTAATAATATAATTTCATGTTTTAATGTCTGAATGGAGAAGGCAAGCTTTGTTATTTATGAAGTGAAAGTATGTTTGAGTAATTATAGGTTTAATTAAATGCTATGGGGACGTTGTTTATGTTTAAATAGTTATAAATTATCGTCTTAATGATGGATGTGATTGCGAAAGTGATTCCTTATCATCATCCAAATTCTTTCTGATAAGATAAATTTCATTAATAGTTTATACTTCTGCGTTAAGCTACGTTTCATCAAAGCATTAAGTCATTGCCAAAAATATGTATTTTGTTAGCAAAACATTATTATTAGAAAAATGCTCTCAAGATGCATTCGCTAAATACATGAGTCCACGACTAACATTAGGTAGATAACGAACAACATGTACATGATTTATAATATTAAATTATTACAATTTATTTTTAATATTTATTATACTTTTAAAAAGATATGATAACGAATTTAAAAACAAAACATTTTCTCTGCTTCTTATTATCCTGAAAAAGTAGGGCGTCTTTGAACCGATAACCATCTTTCGGTTAACCTATCCTTCTCTATCTCTCGAGACCAACAAAGGGTAGTACAAAAATATTCACCTGTTGTCCATCAACTACACCTTTTGACCTTATCTTAGGTCCTGACTCACTCTCCGTAGCCGAACCTTGTGGAGAAACCCTTGAATTTTCAAGGGATTTCTAAAGCTATAACATTAGGAATTGTTTTTAAAATTAAAATATCTCTTATTGTTTTAATCATGTCTTATTTTGTACTTTTTTATTGGTAACATAATTTGTACTTGTTTACATTTTTTTCTATGTTTTTACCATTGATTTTTCTTTGTCTCCTTACTCCATCCCTCGTCTAATCATGTTTTCATCCCCTTTTACATTTCTACTTTCACGGTTTTTTTAGTACACATTATTTTAATGGAAGCATATCAATTTTAAATAATAACTTTCAAAAATTGTATAATGAAAAAAAAAAACCTTTTGAATGAAAACTATTTTACGTCAAAAAAAAACTTTCGAATTTTGACGGGTTAGCTATTATTTGTTTTTAGAGTCTTGCTCCCTCTATCGCCACCAGATGGTTCCTGCACCACCCCATTCCTAATTTGTCCTTGTTATAAAACAAAAGTCAACATCCGTTTTGCCTTCAATGGATGTTGACATCCGTTTATATATTTTATATTTTATTTTATTGTTTTTATTTTAAAAAAAGAAGAACTTCAACGGATGTGACACATCCGTTTAATAAATTTTTAAAAATATTTTAATTATTATTTAAATAATAATACATAAATTAAATTAATAATAATTATTTTATTAATAAAAGAATATTAATTTAAATTAGTAATAATTTTAAAAAAAAAATATTTATAATAATTTAAAATACATAATTAAAAACTAAAACTAAAAAAAAAAAAACTTAACGATTGCCACATCCATTTTAATAAATTTAAAAATATTTTAATTATTTTTAAATAATTCTAAGTACTTAATAATAATTTTGTTTATATTTTTATATTTAGTATTTAAAAAGTTTAATTTAATTAATTTAAAATACAATAAACAAAACTAAAAACTAGAAAAAAATTCAACGGATGTGGCCAACGATGTGCACATCCTTTTAATAGTTTATAAAAAAAATTTATTATTTTTAAATAATAATACATAATTAAATTAATATAATATTGTATTAAATAAAATAAAATTAATTTATAAATAATTAAGTAATAATTTTAAAAAAATTAAATAATATTTATATATTAATTTAAAATACAATAAACTAAAAAACTAAAAACTAAAAAAAAAACTCAATGAACATGGCACATCTGTTCAAGAATTTTTCTTCAACGGATGTCGACATCCGTTTAAGAAAAGAAATGGGATGTAGGATATTTTAAAATATAAAAAATAGTTTTAGAATTTAAAAAAAAAATGTGATGGTGCAGGAAGTAACGTGGATGGAGTAGGGAGTAACCTTCTTGTTTTTAACTCCTTTGAAAAGCTTTAATTAAGGGACAATTAAAATCTTTCTTCATTTAAAAAAAAACCAAATAATGCTTTAGACGTAAAAATAAGAATAAAGAACGGGGAATTAAAAATACAAAAAGGAAATCAAGTTTATGGCAAGAATTTTCATTTGGGTCGGAATAAAAACATTAAATAAAAAATAATCGACATAGTCTAATTAAAAGGTATTAAAACTTGTTCATTATGTATGACACTAAATTTATTTATTATTTTATAGTACTGAAACGACGTGGTGTTCACGTACAATTGAAACTTCTTCCAATTCGGATTGGACGAATTGGGATTCCTTTTTCTTTATTAACTCTTTTAACCTAAGATAAATTATCATTTAGTACATATCAAAAATATCAACATGTATAAAGTATTATATATGATATTATATATCAAGGCGGTTAACAAGTGTCAATCATTTTTAAATAAAACTATTAAGTTTTCTGTGTATTGCATTGGTGTTTTATGTTTCTTAATTTATTGTTTTAGTTAACGTGTCCCTAGAGGAAAAATACTTGTATATAATTTAATCATAATAAAAATATATGCAGTGAATCAATATGTTTGTTATAACGAAATATCAATTATAAGAGTGGAAAGAAGTTATTTAAATCTATTCCCATCACACTTTTAATATTTACATTAATTTGGAAGATTTCATATAAACTGATTAATGTTTTATATAACATGAAAAAGTGAATTTATGTTAGTAAAATACAGAGATAAATATGTTTTGTTTTTCTGAAGTAATAGATAAAATTGAAAATGATCTTGTATTTTCAAAAGCATTGATTAACGATGTTAAAGTTTATTTGATAAGACATTCTAATTTAGCATCAAAGATATTGACATGTATGGTCACTAGGGAGGGATTATAGAAAAATTCACGCGGGTATTTGTAGATAAAACATGTAATGAATAATTACTACCTTCAGATATTTACAACCTACGAATTTCGGGTAGCAGATATTTTAATATCCATTTATAAACAGGTCGGGTTGGATATTATACTACCCACTCGTGGATACCTATTATCTAAAAAAAAAAATAATTAATTTTAAAATAAAATTAATTTATATATTTTTAGATTAAATTTAATTAAAATTAATTTAGTTTATTTGTATTTAATTTATATTAAATTTTATATTTTTTTGTAATTTTATTTTAAAAATGTATAAAATATATATTTTTTAATATTTGCTGGTATTCGCGAGTTTTAAAAAATTCACGAATTTTTTTGAAACGGATATCCGTACGGGTAGCAAGTCAGGTTGCAAGTGGAGTTTTCATTTTTGGATCGGGTTGCGGGTAGACATTATCCGTACCCGACCCGTTGCCATCCTTAGTGGTGACACATGTTATTTAATTTTTTAATTAAATAAATTTTCAAGATTAATACATGATGAGTTTATTTTAAAAATTTAAAAGATTAATTAAATAAAAATGAAAATCATTTTCATCATAAAGATTCGATAGTGAAATCTATGGCTTCTATTTTTCATCACTTCAACACGTAATATCCCACTCTCCTTCGTCATTTTTACCACCTTTATTTTTGCTAAACATTATCTTCAACCACCCAACACCATTCACCTCCACATAATCACCAAAAACAAAGACTATCAAACTAACAACTCCATTTTTCTAAGATGGGGCAACTTCTTCCCTACCTATTGCTCCATCACCTCCAATTATTTCATCTCTCTCATCTTCTACGTAACTCTAATACATAACCAACAATCAACAATTACCAATATTGGTGAATCAAAATTATAAAACAAGAATAAAAATGGAGAAAGAGAGAAAGAGGGGTAGGGGTAACACACACTGCTAGCCTAGAATATATATGTTGTTGGGAATCCAAGTGTGAGTCTAAGTCCCACATTGCATAGAAATGAGAAAATAGAGCAGTATATAAAAATGAAAGAGCCATTAACCTTTTGCCTTAAGGTTTTGGGTAAAGAGTGGTGTCGATCCCCTATATAGTTGGCTCAGATGTTATTATTGATGCCAACAGTGGGGTTCTCGCTCACACAAAATTTGGAAACTTTGATCATTAAAAAACAAGAATGAGTTGGGTTGGGCTCACCACTCTCTACAGCCCTTATTTTTTCTATCCAGCCACTACTGTTGTTTCTATTTTCTACAAAATTTTCATTTTAATTAAAAAAGTTAAATAACGTATTAGTAGTTCATCTAATGAATTAAAATGTCGTTTTTCATGTAGGATAAATTTTAATGATTTTGAAAAATACAAACCAAAATCAACGTTTTTAAAAATACAGGATCAACCACTGTATAAGTTTCAACTATAAATCATTTTTAATTTTAAGTAATACTTCAAAGACTAAAAACATATTTATTCTTAAAATATAAAATATTTCATTTATCAACAGAAGTCTTCAATACATAAACTATACAAAGCAAAAACTTGAGGCATTAGAAAACAACTAACTTTATATAAGAGAGATTCCAAATTTATTTAACACAATAAAAAAAACATAACATTCCCTAAATTTGTTATTTTTAAATTTCTTACATTTTTTAAGTGATCAACTAACA